TTTTCTTTGTTGTGTGTGTGTGTGTGTGTGTGTGTGTGTGTGTGTGTGTGTGTGTGTGTGTGTGTACATATGTAACTTATTTGTATATATATTATCGAAAATAAATGTAAATTGAAAAAGGTAATGGAATACCTAAACATAATTAATAACATAATAAAAGATAATGGAATACCCAAACGGATAATGTTTCAGGAAAATGATCGCTCCTGCAGATTATCAGACAGAATAAAAACTTCTTCACCCAGAATTAATAGTATAGTATATACAAGAACATTCTATATTTTATATTTTATTAATATAATTATTAATTAACATTTAAATATACACAGAAATATATATCGAAGATGAACAAGGATTGAGAAGAAAGGAAGGTCATTATTTGAAAAAATCGTCAGCATCTTTTTCGCGATCACGAAATAAATAGTCCGACGAAATTTCAACAACTATAAGACATATTAACGTAAGTGATTCTATAATTCTAAAATTTAAAAATATTTTAAACATGATTGCGAAACATTCAAATTGTTACTGTTAACAAAATTGTTTCGTTTATGAAAAATGTGTAGTATTAATTTTTTAAACAGTACGACAACAGACAAATTCTACCAATTTACAATTTGATCGCAAATGCAATTTATTTATTTTTGTTTCAAAATATAGCATGCATTTAAATTATTGCATTTTTTTTATAGATAATCGACAGCCAAATTAATTTTGACAATCAGAAAAACAACGACCCGTCTCAAGATTTATCAAACAGAAATATAATATCAGAATCACAAATATCTATTAATTCGAATGAGGGAGATAAAACATATATAGGCACATCGAAAAAGGATATCCAAATCAATAATAAAACTTCTAACAAAGATTTTAATAAGAATTCAAATTTAACAAAAAATTCACAATTGTCGCAAAATAAAACTTGGAAGAAAAAGGATGTATTGGAGGGTCCAAGTTGGCTGTTTATAACATCATGCCATCATTGGGTAATGAGCCGGAAGAACTCGATTATATTAATGTATATGGTACTAATAATAATATGTCTCAAGTCATGTCAATAATGTGTGATGACGTTACAGATAGTAATATAGAAGAGAGATCAAATTTAAACGAATCTATAAACAATACGCCAGCATCGGAAAAAGATATAGCACATGTTACTGATCATACCGAGTATAAATCTTATCTGCATGAAAATACAGATGGTAATTTCTGCGAGACACTTCCGACGGCGTCTGTATGCAACTATGAGAAAAGTTTAGATAATGCAGACGACAATATAATGAAATTCACGAACTTTGTGACAATGAAACGAGGACATTCCAAAGCATTGGAAGAGATAGAAAATTTCACATTGTTGTTGCATCAATCAGCAAAAAACAGAGAATTCGACATCGACGAATTGCGACTGCCCGTTTTGGGGGACTCTGCGATAAATGAGTCTTCTACTAATAACAAAATCGATTCCGAAGTAACTGTCACGATATCAAGGATTACGAATATTTCAATAGCGTCAGTATTGAATCGTAATTTAAACGAATCTGAATATGATCGTATCATGAAGCTGCCATTATTCATTAATGATCACAAACGAATATCAGAAGCGAATCAGATTAAAAAATCGGAAAACAGTTTAGATCCGAGCTCAGCAAAAGTAGTATTCATGAATGAATCAAGTAAATTCATGAATGAATCTCATCTTAAGACAAGAGTGTTACCAGCTAATGGTACTCAAAGCGCTAACAGTCTTAGGTATGTGTAATTATACAATATTACAAGCCGTAATGAGATTTTTTTCATAAGTTGTACAATTTTATATACTGGATTTGTAGAAAAGAGTCCACATCTGAGGAAAAAAGTCTACGAGATTCAGAAAACGATATTTATACTTCAGGTCGCCCGAGACGAAGAAAGGCACCAGTAAATTTGAAAGAACCTAGCTTGAATACGTAAGTAGATACTTTTTTCCAGACCAGAATACAATTCAGAATTTTCTTTTATTAAAAATTCGATTACCGTACACTTCAAGAAATTGTTTTTTTTTTATTTATTAAACGAAAAAGATATATCTTTGAGTCGTTACATTGCAAATCCATTAACCACATGTATTGACGATACACATAAGCAGTTATCTTGAATATTATATATATATGTAAATCTAAAAATAAAAAAAATTAGGCGCTTAAGATTTTGTCTTGCCGAATATTATCAATATTCCATTCTGTTACTAATTATATTTTGTCTTGTAGAAAATTGAGACGAAACGAGTAAAAAGAGCAGATAAGTATGATTAAGATACGATGAAAAAATTATGAGTATTATTAGTGAATTTGTATCTGGAATCAAATATTCGAATTTTTTAGTAAGTATTTTACTAAAAAATTTTGTGTTTTTGAATCAAAGTATTTATATTATTATAATATTTAATAATTATAGATATTACAAATTATATCAAATTGTGGAATAATTAAATAAATATGATAAAAATATAATTAAAAATATAGCTAGTTTTAAAAATTTTACATATATTTTTTAAAGTACTGACTTTTATATATGAACACAAAAATTCGAATACTATTTATAAAAGATTCCTTACAAGATGGAAATTATTTATAAATATATTTCTAATTTTGTAGGCACTCGTTCCAAAATACCTAGATAGAATCGATTATTTTGCAAGTACCAGTATGTGAAAGTACAAATGAATGAAATATGAAATATATGATATGAATATTCATATGAAATATTATTTCTTATATATGAAATATTATTTCTGAATATTACTCGAATCTTGGAAAGTGAGACTTAATTGTTGAATTTGATTCTGATTTTTGAATACTTATTGAATTTGATCTCATCTCTAATTGTATCGTTATCACATTACCGATTATATGTATATAATGTATATTATATGTATGATACATGTATGTATACATGTATGTATGTTACATGTTACATGTATGTTATATGTATATAATGACAAAAACTTTTTTATTGTATAAAAATAGTGCGTAAATATATTTTTTCATCATAGCAATTTAGGTGAGATGATAAATGTTTTTGCAAAATTTAAAAAATCCTGATTACAATAAACTGTGAAATTGCTTTTTTTTATCAAGATTTAAAAAAAATATGTCAAAAAACTTGAGAAAACACAATCGTAACTTTGCAAACAAATAAATACATTTTTAATTTTTAATTTTTGTCTTAAAATGTAAATAAAGTTTAGTAACAGATCTTCAAAATACATATTTCATAATACTTTAGAATTATTGATACTTGATAACTGAAAGATTAAGCGAAATAATTAATATTCAGAAGTCACTTAGAATCCTCAATTTTGAATTCTTATCTATCTTTCTTATCTCACCTCTTCACGAAACACTTAATGTTGCAATGGAGAGGCACGTGGAAAAATCCCTGACGGCGACACGAAATTAAGCGCGAGGTGAAACTGTTTCATCGGACTCGTACAAAATGATTGATCGCCGTCGGAAACGGTCGGCAGCTCTTTCGTGCGCAAATAAAAAGGCTTGGCCTCCGCGTACTCTCGAGTAGCGTTATGTATATATGTAATGGATTTAACCTTCCGCGCGCTTCCACGCGAGAGCGCGAACGAGCGCGAACGAGCGCGCGCGGGGGCAGAAATTAATTATGTTTGTTTAATTCCGAGATGAAAAAAGCAGCTGGCATCGCCTCGCCCAGTGCAGTTCTAATTCGGAGAGAGAAAAAGGAAAGCAAAGACGGAAAGAGACAGACAGAGAGAGAGAGAGAGAGAGAGAGAGAGAGAGAGAGAGAGAGAAGAAAGTAAAGTA